TCCCTTTTTTTCATATTCCTCTCATAGCTCTTTGTTCTTTCCTCGGCTTCAGACAATCATATTGCTCAGTGATCACTTTAGGTTTGAATCATGGTGGAACGATGTTGCTCATGGATGCTTTTACAAGATTTGAAATTACAGATAAGAGCACCAAAACTGTTCTCCGACTAGCACCCAAGTGCAACATCATCCCAAATGTCTTCACCCACTTTGACCCCATAGTGTCTCTGATCAGCCCCATGTGTAATCTGAGTTTACGAGATGCCGTAGTTGTTGTAGTAGGCTGCCGTTGCGTCTGCGAGAACTGAAATGAGGCTGGGTTCTGTGGAGCTGCTGGGAGGGGCAGAACCAGCACTGGGAGACGTCAGCTGGATGTGTCCTGTAACAGTCAGGCTGCTGCTCTGCTCGGGGGGGAACCCGGGCCCATTGGAGTTCAGGTACTGGTCAAACTCATCGCGGTCCACCTCACCCAGGAGCTCGGCCTGGCTCAGCTGGTCCAGAGTCTCCAGGTGACCCTGGGTCTCTGGTGGGGGGGACAGCTGACCCAGGTGTCCCTGGTGGAGCCCGTGGTGGATATGGTGGAAAGATGAGCTACTGTAGTAAGACAGCGGGACGGGGATCAGTCCCCCACCACCTTGGGACATGAGAGAGATGTGACCCATGTGTGCGCCCCCACAGTGGATCTGGCTCTGAGAATAGTCAGTGTGGTACGGGGGCGGGCTGCCCATGTGTGTCTGACTCTGGTGGTGGTCATCTGGGCAGGAGGAAGAGGAACTACAAGATGTGGAATAATAAGAAGGGGGGACATGCTCGTGGTCCATGGCATCTAAGGGGGACATCTCAGGGGGGGTGGGCAGGCCGTAGGGGTAGGTGTCAAAGCTACTGCTGGAGGGGGCCGGGTCTCTGAAGCTTCTGACGCCGGGCAGCGGGCTGGGGCTGGAGAAGCCGCTCCTGAGGCTGCCCTCGTCTTTGTCCAGGGGGTGACAGAGGACCCTCTGCTCGGGCAGGGCGTTCTGATCTGGGGCCAGCCCGCTCAGCAGGAAGCCGGGGTCCACCCGCTTGCAGATGCGTTTCAGCTGTTTCTTCCTGCGAGGCCGATACTTGTAGTTGGGGTAGTCCTGCATGTGCTGCACCCGGAGCCTCTCTGCCTCCTCCACATAGGGCCTCTTATCAGGGGGGGTCAGGGCCTTCCAGGACTTGCCTGCAAGAGGAAAACACAGATTTAATTTAATCTGCAAATCTTGAATGAGTTTGTAATTCAGTGTTGCAGTTTTCTGTTAATTGTTTAAAGTCTGTTCTAACACAATGATAAATTACGACACACAATTTCTACAAATTGTAAAAAAAAAACATAAATAAGTCTTGTGTGTATGTTTGAATAAATGTTTACACTTATACAACCTTTTTGGATAATAAAGATACGACAATCCTATTTATAACGGTGGAATTGCAGCAAGAGTGTAAACATTAAACATAGGTACAATAGCACTATAAAACAGACATTCAATTAATAATAAGATTAGACTTGACTTTACTTTCAAAGGAAGACTCATAATTGCTATATTCATTTTTCATTCACTCGTAAAAGTAAAGAAAAAAACATCTATATTCACTTCTACTGAAAAGCTAATAATCAGCTTATTTCACTTTAAGTTATTAATTGTTTATAAAAAGGAAATAGTGCCCTTTTTTAAGATAAACACAAGTCCCTATTTTACCCTTATTTATGAAAGCATTTGAGATGTTTTGCCGTTCTGGAATTGGCTTTAACCTGATCTCCGATTTGCCAGATTTTGAATTTGGCACTAAATACTAATCCACTACCAGGGTAAATCCAACGCAGAATCATATATTTTCTTTACTATGTCCATAGTCTTAACGAATGTTACGGTTTAACGGGGATGTTCACTTTGAGTAACGCGCTTCAAATGTCTGAAGTTACGTAATTAATTAATTTGGTCTGACAACTAAGATTAAACACGTTGCTTTGTTGTCTTTTCTTTTTAAAACACATTTACCGATAACTGTCTCTTTTTTCAGATTCTAATGTAGGCTACTTATCATTTTTGTGTTGGAAACAACTCTAAAACTTTAGGAAAAACCTCTGAGGCCTGAGGGCAATTATCAGTGTGAGGATCGTAAAAAATAGCAGTAATAATATTGACAATAATAATAGGCTATATGCAAATATTAATGCTCACATAACAATTAAAGTTGTTGATTAACAAAACTTTAAATAACTTTTTCTCACCCAACATTTTGCTGAGCTCGGCATTGTGCAGGTCTGGGTTTTGAACCGCCAGTCTCTTGCGCTCGTCTTTGGCCCAGACCATGAACGCGTTCATGGGCCGTCTGATGCGCGGCTCCGGCGCCTTGTCCGCGGGGGTCCTTTGCGGGCCGTGTGCGTCAGACGCGTCCCCGTCTCCTGGAGGACACTCGAAGGACTCCGGCCACGACGAGTACGCGCTGATGAGGGCTGCCATGTGCGCACTCTCCTGTCTAAACGTAGGATGCGCTTCTCACTCTGTCTCTGTGATAAGTTGTCTTCTCTGTGGAGGTTGACTAAAGGCTGATTTAAAAAACTACAGAAACTGCTTTTATAAAATCCAGCGGTGTTTAACACTCCCTGAATCACTAGAGCTACAGGCGACAGTCAGATGTCAGGACAGGTTTGTGGAGATATGCTCAGCTGCGGCTCCTCCTCGTGAGTTATGATTCAGTCTTTCCTGGTGGATGGGGGAGCGCTTTATATTTGAGGAGCAGGTTCCAGGAGAAGCCCCCGAGGACTCTCGGCTCCTCCTTGATTGCAAGTTGAGCCCCGTGAAAAGGAAAAAGAGAGAGAGCAGCATTTCAACACCATTTACTACTTAAACTGGCCTCACAACAAAACAACACTTTCCACTGACAGAGAGCGAGAACTCAGTCACTGTGCAGGTTTATTTTATACAATTATGTTGGGTACACTTCATAAAGGACCAGGGTGAGTCAAAATGGAACAACTGAAATAATTGTTACCTATTAAAGAAAACTAATTCCTTATTCTACATACTCTTCATGTTGCTAGGAATTTGGCAACATTGTTTTTTTTGCTTTCCAACAAGGTTACCCTCACCTGACAAACTGATCTAACCTGTCCTGCTCAACGAGTAATACTTGAACACTGCACTGGAAGTGTTTATAGATTTCCACTGAACTCCTAAGCATTAAGGGTGTCATGGCCAAGGGAAACAACACTTTTTATTTTTAAGTTTTTATGATGTGCTGCATCTTTGAATATATTTGAAACTCCTAAGGATCAATATTATACTATTTTAAAATGACTGTACTGAGTTCTCTTTAATAGTTTAGATGCAGATCAATGTGGAACCTCTGAACAAATCTGTGGGTGCGAGGAGATGAAACCAGTGAACAAACACTACAAACAAATCAGTTTCCTTCTGTGGCCAAAGGCTCATATCAAATCCTTGAGTTCCTGTTGACAGGATACTCTGTAGAAGCTCACAATTTTACACACAAGGGCACACACACACACACTGCTGGAACACAGCTACTGATCACAGGTCAGATAGTATTTTGGTTTGTAATATTTATGGGGGAGGGAGTAACCTGATAACAGATACTGGTTTAACGTTTTCTCCCTCCTAACCTCCAATCCAATCTTAAGTTTGTAGTACACATCTTTTGCTCCGTTGTGATTCCCTGACCATCAAACTTAAGTGTCAGCTCTAGCTGTGTGTGAACCTTGCCCCCCCCCTCCTCACAGGAAGAGGATACGGCACCTGAAGCCACAGATAGTGCGTAGGGCAGCCACATCAGTGATATATAGAGCCATGCTGCTCTGACATGGGCCACATTGAAGTGAAGTCAGTGTGAGTAAAAGTCACAGCAGAACAAGTGTGAGAAAACAGGAGTGAGCAAGTCTGATTGACAAAGTTAGAGTTTCATATATTTGCAATTTGGAACGAAGCACCTGAAAGCTCCGAGTGGTGGGTTTCTGAAATGAATAATAGCTTTATGTATGTGTGGGTGGGAGCTGCATCAGCCTGCTGTTGTTTACCCTTTCAGAGTAAAAGACATGTGGCTACTGAAGACTTGGCGAGGGGGTTTGTCTTGATGCAGGCATGTGCTGCATAAAGAATTGTCACTATGGCAACTTAAATCAAGCATCCAGTTTTAAAATAAATTCCAGTGTTTAACGTTGTTAGGCCAAACCTTTATCACTTTTATGTTTCTGCATCATATATAATCTTCTGTATTAAAACCTCAATCTACGGTTTTCATTTCATTTCAAAATAAAAGTGAGCTGCAACGTACGGTTTTCATTTCATTTCAAAATAAAAGTGAGCTGCAACATTATGTGGAAATGTCAGTAAATGTTGGTGGTGTAACAAATTAACACTGTTGTGACGTTTAAAGGGAAAGGGACATGTCATTCTTTCTTCACATTAAACATGATAGCAACAACAGTTGGAGAGCCACATTAATTAATGTGAAAAAACAATTTATATTTGGGTTAAATAACGGCTTGTAATAAACTGTATCAAGTCTCATAATGACTCCACAGTAAATGTTGACGTAATGGGAAAACCCACCTGCACACCTGAGACGCTTACAGTAATAGTCGGGCTATTATAGGATGACAAATGAAATATCGGTAACTAAAAATAATTACGAGGAATGCTGTATTCACGTGTAAAGCTGAACATTTGTAGTTTCCTCCTTTGACTCATACCACCCACTCATTTCTGAACAAATCTAGCTTGTTGAGAGTTCGTCAATCTAGTCAAAGACAAATATTTTCTAGGTTCATTAATCATATTCCGAAGTGGAAAAAGGTGAGTGTTGTGAAAGCCTTATCTATGTCTGGAGGTCTAACCTTTGAACGTTCATGATCGTATAGGGTACTCACTGCACGACTATTTCTCCTCACCACTCTCCTGTTCCCTTATAAATTCATTTCACACCATCTATGAAGGAAAACACAACACAAATCAAACATCCATTGCTATTTGTATTTATTTAAAAACTCATGTGATCCTGTCGAAGGGCCAACATGTCTTTTTTCTTACAGCTCATGAATGGGTCAGACCAACGGTTTTCAGAAAAACATCAAATGGCATCAGTTCATATTTGTCAAATCACATGGAAGGAAAACAATTACGGTGTGTTTCTGTTCAAATTTACAAATGTGACTTTCTGTGTCGCTTTCATTTAAGAACATATCCATTGTCTGAACAAAAATGAAGAAAAATTGCATATCGTTTAAAAAAAACAAAACAAAAACAATTTTCCTGCATATTTTTTTGGCTTTATGGAATTTATTAATCTGGATATTTGTATTCATTACAGCAATCGCCAGCATGCATTTCATTGTTTTCCCAATTTTACTCATTTAAAAATGTCAAAATATGTCTGTATGAATACATTATAGACTTAGCAGTCAGTCAGATGTACAGAAAGGGAGTTTTTAAATACATTCAAAGAATAGTAATTTCATTCTTGCCGAGTGTTTGATAAATTCATCGTTACAGGTCTTGCATCTGTCTGTTAAATACAAAGCTACAGCCTGTTAGCTTAGCTTAGCGTATAGACTAGAAACAGAGCAACCATTGGCCTGGAAATGTATAAAAACGAACAAATATATTTTCTTCCCAATAATGTTTAGTTTTTTCTGTTAGGCTTGTTTGCCATCTGCTGCAATGTGTATCCCTGTGGCCCACAGTCAGAGTTTTGGGTTTTACTCTGCAGCTTTGAGGGGTCTAATCTCCTTCTCATCTCCTATTCTTGATGTTTCCTTTTCTTTTTCTTGTCCTTTTTAGATTTCTTCTCTACCACCTCCACCTTGTCTTCATCGCCCACCTCCTCGAAGTGTTTCTTCTTTTTGCCAACAGCTTCAGAGTCTACACTTTGATCCTCAGTTGGCTCATGTCCATTTTGAAGCTCAGTTTCCCTATGCTGTTTTTTATGCTTCTTCTTCTTCTTCTTGCATGGAGGCAGTTCCTCTGAGTTCTGCTCAACACCGGAGGTTGAGCTACAGTTCTCATTTGTAGCCTCTTCACTTTCTACCATTTTTCTCTTCTTCTTCTTTTTCCCTGAACTCTCCTGCTGCTGGTCCTCATCGTCCACCGTTATGACAGGAACGGAGGTACTGTTCTCTTCTACCACTTCTAGATCATCGTCTGACGTGTTCTTCTTCTTCTTCTTCTTCTTCTTCTTTTTGGGTTCTTCTGAGTCGTCAGTGGGGATGAGGATGGGTTCCTCAGATTGACCTGAAGTCTCGTCTGTCTCCATCGATGGTTCTTCACTCTCGGCCTGTCCACGAGACTTCTTCAACTGAGCCATTCGCTGAGCAAAGTACTCCTGCATAGTGAGAGTACTTTTCACAGTGTTGGTGATGGTCTCTGTATCCACTTTGAACGCCGCAGGAGTAACACTCTTCTCAGCCTCACCCTGAGAATCACTGCTGTTGCTCTCCTAGACCAAAAACACACATGAGAAGACAGGGTTAGGATTTAATGCAGAATTTAAACAATCAACACAGAAATAGACGGACAATGGTGGACCGAGGAGCTTAAGTGTTCGTCAATCATCACGCACAGATTAACCAGACAGATTTTCTTGAGTGAAAAGAGCCCAAATAGGATGTTGAGGCAACAATAGGTGTTAAAGGATCATCTTAAAATAAGCATCTCTGGACATAATTATCACACAGTTGACATTTATCATCATCTTCTTCCAACACAATGTAGCTCCACACATCCAGCTGTGCTCCTTAACTGCCATCTCCACGTCTAACCACAAACATACCTTAAATATACTAAACCATTGTGACACTACAGAACATCAAATAGAAAGAATATGTTTGTCTTTTAATTATTTTTTACAGGGTTTAGAAATATTTACATATATATTCAATTCATTATAGTACTCAGGCATACTTCTACTTGTCTTCTCTCGGTTAACACACATTTTATATTTCATTCGACAGTTTATACTTTGATCATCGAGTGCTTTAGGGAAATGTAATATGTTTGAATGCTAAACTGCAAAAACACTTCTTTTGTTATATTTGTGCACTTAGTAGCTATGGTGTTTTAATTTGTCTTGATGAAACTCTCAAAAAAGATGTTGATATACTTGTTTTGTTCCTTTTGATAAAGTATGACCTCTTTGGCATTCGGCTTGTAGTAGATGGTGACACTATTAGACAGGATATGCAGGGATGTCGTAAAGAAAGGAGTAAAGAGCCAAACTCATTCACTAGTTTTCAGTAAACTGTCTCCGATCTGGGGGACATGAGTTATTACGACACTATTAAACAGGGACTACTTTACGACTATGAGGTGCAACGCAGCCTACATTTTAACTCTACAGCAGGAACAATTTGTCACCTCACCCCTGCGACCCATTCGTCTTCATTTTCCTAATGGCCTACTCAATGCATAATGATTGGTCCAGAAGAATACAGGAGCTCCTCCTGAGAGTCGCTCTAAACAATGCTGCCGCTCAGAGTATTGCCTCAGAGATGGCATTATTCAAACCCTACAGATTAGAGATGAATTGAATATGCCGTGTTGTGTAGAGTCACCTCATGGTGCGGCCTTTAAGCTCTTACATTCAGATTACATTACTTTGGCCCTTAACACAGATTGAGGCAGACAAGCTAACTGATGGGCTGGTAAAACAATGTGGATGCAGATCTGAACTGTTCTTTTGGGACTGACTGTAAGTAGACTGAAATGCAGAGTGAAGTTAATACATTGGTTACTAACAAGGGCTACTGCCCCTCCCCCCTCAATGGGGGTGTCCCAGGACTTGTCTGCTTTTAGGTTGTCCAAATTGGATTTAGAAAAAAAACATAAATATGTGTATAAAACGTTTTAAAATATATCTTTCCTCACTCCAAAATGGACTACTTAGTAGACAACACCTCTTTAACCCACGCTCTCAAGCTAGCAGCTCACCCTCCATTTTCCTGCAGTTGGAAAATTATGTCCAAGGGTTGATGACTCATCCCTATCTATCTACTATAAAAAAGAAAGTAAGGCTGCTTTATCTCAGTTGCCTTAACTTGAGTTCAATTGAAAGACAGGACAAAATGTGTCATTTGTGGCCAGAAATTGGCCAATGACAGCGTGAAGCCAAGCGAAACATAACACCAGCAGGAAACAAAGCACATCATTGGTAAAGGTTAGGAATTTTTGGAGAGGAAAATTCATTTGGCACATTCAAAGAAGATCCACAGACAAAGGGTGAGGGCGTCCTGAAATATGTCTGTGCTTATCTAAGATGTGGACCACTGTGTTGCTACACATGCACCAGGTTTCCACGCATTACACATCTGTATGTCTTGGGTCACAAAATGTGCCACTGGGGACTTAAGCAAAACCATAAAGCAATGTGTCTTTACTACCTAAAAGGCTCTACAGTATATTATGTATTTCCATGAGGGAGTCAACCATTGTTTATTTGGTCTAATATATTGATTATTATGGTAAGAAATGATTGTCCTGCAAATATACCCTTGGATCAATACTTTTGAAGGGCTATACATTATGCATGTAAAATCAAGATTTGACCAGGTATGAAAATGCAATATAATAATGCATCTTAAAATAGTGATTCTGGAGCCTTGAGGCTTAATGACACGCCAGGTGTTCAAATGGACCACAAAGTTTTCCGCCACCTCAGTCCTCCACTAGAAAGAACCCCAACTTCTAACAAGGGGGGGGAAAGGCCCTTCAGGTGAGGCGCTATTAAACAAAACTTTCCAACTTCCCAGAGAAAATCTATACTCCCTGTTACTGCACAATGGCATCCTCTCTGCTTGGGAGAGTGGAGATGGGGCTTAGAGCTGACAGCGCCAAACAACATGTAACAGGGATTTGGGAAGATGGCTGGGGGCCACTTTAGAACTGCCTGTGAAATTACTCTCTAGAGAGGGTGAATGAGCGAGGGGGAGAACGAGAGGAGAGTGACTGAGAGAGAAACATCTCCATCAGGGGAAGGGGCTGGAATGTGGTCCGTCCTCACTACCTGGGGTCTCCATTAGACCCTGATCCGGCAGGACACACATATGTACAGTGTGGATGTGAAGCTGCTGATCCAGACAGCACTACTGACAGCCCTGGAGATCTTTGTTGGCGAGTGTTAAGGGCAACATGTTACGTGTGTGTGTGTGTGTGTGCGTGTGCGTGTGCGTGTGCGTGTGCGTGTGTGTGTGTGTTCGTTCTATGGCCTGGTATTATCAGTCACCATTTCTGTGTCATATATCAGTACAGCCGGCATGAGACAAAATGCTGATTAAAATAAATGTTATCACTGGAGGAACAATGTTAGTTGTTGATTTGATTTGTTTCCTGATATAATGAAAATTACGTTTTCTGCTTAGTATTAATACATAAAACAATAGCATTTTCTTAAGCAATTTTCTACTCGAGTATGTTGGACGTATTCATTCATAAAGACAAAAAGAAATGGGCACTCAAATACATTACTGAATTGTGTATTGTTTTAGGCAGCGGCAGCTTCATATAGTTTGAGGTTTGCAGTCCATTTCTGAATTTTCAGTATGTCAGTCACTTGTTTTACATTTTGAACTGATAAGGTGAAGCCCTGGAAACAAAAGATGAACCCTTCAAAAGAAAATGCAGTTAAGTGAGGGTAAGTCAAATGTGTTTATTAGACCCTCCAGAAAAACGCGATTCTGTGATTGCAGAATTTACCGCATAATCAGGAAAATGGCGCAGATTTTTTAAAAGGCCGCATATTTATCAAAAGGCCGCATAATCCCCGCATTTTTCCACACAAAGTTGAGGGAAAAAAAAGTTAACTCGTCTTGATGTGAAGTAGTGATGATGATGATGACGTGACATCATCAGCTCGCGCATCACAGAAGGTAAACAACACCGTAGAGGGAACGTGTGGAACTCACACGACGAACATTTCTGCTAAAGACCGGGCAAAGCAGTACCCCGATGTCTTTCACGAAAGTGGGGGGAAACTATTCTGCACCCCGTGCAACTGTGTGTTGGAGCATACTTCTTAGAGAAAATCGACGGTGACGACCCACTTTGATTCATTCAAACATTCGAAAATGCTTTCTGCTGCTGCGGACAAGAAAGCCAAACAACTCACGTTCACCGAGGCATCAACCTCCAAAACCCTTTCGAGGGCTACAAGAAACGAAGTGAGTAGCCTACAAGATTGAAGCTGGTCAGATAACGAACGAGTAAATGAAAACAGAATGAGGCGGAGAAGTGTGTGTGTGTGTGTGTGTGTGTGTGTGTGTGTGTGTGTGTGTGTGTGTGTGTGTGTGAGAGAGTGTGTGAGAGAGAATAAATAAGACAGCCCAATATTTAAAAAAAAATCTATTCTTTTTCGCAACTTTCCGCATATTTTCCGACTTCCCGCAATTTCACCGCATAAAATCACATAAAACCCCGCATGTTTAATCGCATAATCAAGGATTTTTGCCCGCGTTTTTCTGGAGGGTCTAGTTTATACCATAAGATGCAAATGCTAGAGTGATTTATTTGTTTTCCCTTATATTGCTGAGACTTAAAGCTGGGGTAGGTAATTTTGGAGAAACCAGCTCTAGTGCGCTAGAATTTGAAAATACACAGCCGAAAAAAAATCTGCCACTTCCTTACAGAGCCCCTCCTCCAACACACGAACGCGCACATGACCAATGAGGGCACGAGATAAATTTGTGCACGTGATTTTTGCAGAGATGACATTTTTGTATGGATTTTTTGTCAAAGCACTTCAGATATTCATTGCCATCGGGATGTTAAGAACATTCCATGGAATATAACAAAAAGTGTGTCTCGAGCCGGTTTCTCAAACTTACCTACCCCACCTTTAAGAGAAATGTAACATACCTCATTAACTACTTTAATTATAGACTTCCTTTTGAAGAACAATGTTTATTTTCTTTGATAGTACATTTACTTTAAAATTGGATCAAATCAACACCTACTGCAAGAGAAGGGACACCACTAATTTACAGTTTTGCAAAAATCATTTTTTGCGAAAACCATAGAAAAATGATTGAAAGAAAAAGGCAGTCCCAAGCTGCAACACAGTGGGGTTGGAGAACACACCTATATCCAGCCGTGTTTACTCCTCCTCCACCTCCTCCTCCCGGGCCCAGAAACCAGGAAAAGGATGCGCTCAGTGCACTGTGTGCAGTTCTGAGATAAGGCTCCTTCGGCAGAGGAGCAGTCTGGCTGGCTATCGGGCCCTTCCTGCTCCCCTCTCTCCCCTGGCGGGGGCTGGGGCTGGGCAGGGAACACAGGGAGGGCCCGCAGAGGGTCCCAGAGAAAAGGAGAGGGTGGGAAGACATTCAACAGGCCGCCTCCTTCAAGACACTCCAGTCCTATCTCTCTCTGCTAATGTAGCCGATGGAAAGCCAACCGAAGACATGTGCCAAGGAGCCAGAACACGGAGGCCAACATATTTAGGAGAGTCAA